TGCAGTTGTGGTGGAGCTGAAAAAATGCGGTCATGTGGATGGTGTTACTTATCACGATGGGGACAGGATGTAGTATCAGTAGCTTGTCGGTGCCTGAAGCTCTTCATAGAGCACAACAACAACATTAGCGCAAAAAGGGATCTTTGCTATTTACTGCTGACCGCAAGGCTAACACTTAAGCTGGACTAAAATAGGTGGCATAAAGTAGGGGTGGGCAATGGGCATTTTTCAAAAAATGTTGTATTCAAATATTTAGACTCATAAAATGGAATATTTTAAGTTTATTTAAAAGACGTTTAACAAGAAGTTTTTTTTAATTCATTTATTATAAGTTTTTGTCACCATTTCTGAACAAGCTTACGATTAGGCAACATACACAACAAGCTTACGTTATATCTTAAGGTATTCTTTTGAAAACATTAAACGGTAAGTGTAAAGAAGAAATATAAAGAACAAAGGCATTTAAGCTCAAGCAGCACGAATGGAGAAAAAATGCTAATAAAGTGTTTATATTGTTTCATATGTTCATGTTGAGAAAGCAATAATATCCACATTCTCGGGTGTGAACGCGCTGCGCTGACAGACGTTGCAGTGACACAAGTAACGTGTGCTATGCGTAGTTTCTAACAGCACTTTGTGTTTTCTGTTCTTAAACCTGTCTCCCTCAACGAAACTTAAAGGAAGCGTATGTCTCGTGATCATTTTGCTATCTGATAAGGTATCATCTCGGCTCATTCTGGTTATTTTACATGTACGTGATGGCAAACATGAGAACCAGCCGTAATAAGCTGAAGTGAAACATCTGCCTAATAGACGTTTTGTTTTTTCCAACTGTGTGTGGTTGCTGACGGTTTGTGTGAGCTGCAAAGGTGTAAGATCTCTCTGGAGAAAGAGGCAACTGTTGTCCAACTGATGCTAGGTAACAGGTGCGTTGTGGGAAACACGGTTGCATAGACACCACTAACTAATTGGGGCTTATCAGGTATTGCTGGGAAGCACAAACAACACCTGTGGCCTTTGTAGACTTGTCACGGGGATGTGGGCGGGGTCCTGCCCGAGTCTGGGGTCATCAGTTCAGGTTTCACTGACTGTGGAACGAGAGATGTTAATCATAAGGTTGCCTTGTTGTGAACTGTAACAGTGACCTTTATGGTGACTCAGTTCTGATCAAATCAACAAAGGCTTCTCGAAGTTATGTCTGTCTGTCGCACACATGTGACAGAAAACGAGCGGCTTGTTGCCTTGCCTCAGCTCATTTCCTGCCGCACGTATCACACCTGTAAGAATCCGAATAAACTTCCTCTGCTCTGCTTTTGCGTCTCTCACTTCCACTGAACCTTTCCCACATTAACTGTCTAGCTCTCCACCAGTCAGCTATCAAGTCTGAACAGGATGTTAGTCTTTTGACACCACAAACACTTCCTCTGGCCTATAACAGCATAGTTGTGTACAGGAAGACTGCTCTTCTTAGCCAGCTGGACTGAGGAGTCCTGCTACTGGCGATGCATTCAGTTTTGAACGTCTTGTTTGTCTTTCAGCATGATGAATATGGTTTTCTGTAGAGGAAGAGACAAACGATTTATTTCAGACAGGACGATCTGGCGTCCCTTCTAGTCTAAAGTTGCAGGACAGGGCGGGGATACTTGTAAAGTGGGGCAGGCCGGAGACGGCACTGCCGACAAACCAGCCCATCAGGTTTCACAAGCTGTCAAATCCCATGATGAAAGTCGGGCATGGTCTCCAAGGTAACACCGAGGACCAGAGTGCATGTGAGCGGGAGCTTGCAGACGACAGTGAAATTACAAACATAAGTTGTCAGTAGCGAAACTAATTTCTTAAACTTGTTCTGAGAGTGAAATTTCAGTGGGTAGACGACGTAGAGCTGTTTTGAAATGCGTCCTTCGGTTTCTGAGAAGACAGCTTACACATTTTGGGTAATTTAAGTTTTGGCCGGATGCTATAAGCTGTTGATTGTTTACTGAAAATAGTTTGAATTGTAGAGCTTGCATTTGGTACTTGTAAATTTGGAGCACAGTGTGCCTTTGGAGAGTATCAAGTGAAACATAACCTGGACAAGGAGACCATTGTTCTTCGCTGCTGCTCAAGGAAATGGCCTGGCTGGATATTATTGGCATTTGGCAGCAGGTTTGTGCCACTGTCTGCGCAGCTGTACCTTATTGTGTGTTTGTAGGTGACTGAGACACGTTTCCTGGTATGTTTACATAAGTCCGCATCTGTGAGGGGTTTTGAACTGTGTGCAGCGAACAGAGATGTCGAAGTGAGGTGTGTGCGTCACACAGATGTCTTAGATTCCTGCCTTTGTCTCCAGATGCCATTCCACATGGTTGCATAGTCTCTACAGTGACTCTGGCCTGACGGGGGATTTGCATCTTTCAGTTTTGAGGCTTTGGCCTTTTTGCTCTGGCTGTGCTGGTGATGTGTCTTAAGCAGTGAAGAACAGCTATGTGAGCCCACTTGTGAGTGGTGTAGTCTTTTGTAACCACCTGCCTAGAGATATTCTAGTCAAATCTTGATTCGTCTACTATATTTAATCACAAAAGTTTGCAAGTATACACCAAAGCACAGCCCATTGTATTCAGACTTCACTCTAAGTACTATGGGATGTACATATTGTGGTCTTTTGTCATTTGTGACAGTGGGTGGTAGACAGGAAATTAGAGATCTGGACATGATACAATACCGGGGTTCAACGTATTGAGCATGTGTGCCTAACCACTAGCCCACAGCTCAAAGACACCTTGTGGCTAAATACTTTATCTCCTGGAGATCTCTTGTTTGCCCTTCTGAATTGAAACAAAAGGCCTGTTTGCATGTGATTTGACACTTAATTTCTCTCATGTTTTTAATGTAAATGTAATATTTAAATCTGTAGTTTTAAGTCACAAATTAAATAAGTTACTTCCCGTATTGTGACATACATCAGAGTGAAATGGGTTATCAAAAAACAAAAACAATCTAGGCTAGGTCATGCACTTGGTTCTATCCATTGTTTGTTGATTGGATGGAGGCAGATCTGAAAGCGTGCTTGCAATTAATAGCAAGAAAGGGACCAGGTTTAAGGGGACAAAATGAGTTAAAATCAGTCCGGCAGAGAGAAATCTGTTGTTTCACCAGAAGATAGAGTTAGGATATTATTATTTTTTATTAAAACATGAAAGATATGTTTAGAAGAATTGTTCACAGTAAGATACATTTAGAAAATAGCCAAGTTTAAGTTTTTATTTTATTTAATTCAAATCTTTCTATAGTTGAATATCAATAGTGCTTGGACAACTTATCACTATTAATTTTATTACCATTCTGAAAAGTGGGAAAACACATGGATATTATGTTGGATATGACATTTTCCACAACTTCTTGGCTATAAAGTAGTTCCAGTCTTGATGGCATTACAGTTGCACGTTACTTGACGCGTTATAAAAGGCACTGGACAAGCAAATTGTATGAAAAACTATTTCAATTTCAAAATTACGCAATTTTAGCAGCTAGCCAAAAGCTGAATGGGGTTACTGTCCAGCCTAAAATCTAAAATACTGTAATTACGTGTAATAATGTGACTGCATGTCTGAGGCCAGACGCAGGTAATCACACTTGTTTGCTCACATTCTCTGTCTCTGACATACATAGAACCTTGTTACTCAAATCTGTGCATTATTTTTTATGTCAACAATTACTAAACATTCTAGAATGTCAATCTCAGCATTTCCCCTATGTATATAGTCATCAGCAGTTGAATGGGGGGGGTTTTAGATTAGGGGAAAGTTTATAGACTTTGTGGCCTTGTGGAAATGACACTAGTCATTTGTGTTGAAGTTCTTGGTGATTCTTGTAAAATGTAATAGACATTCAGATGACAAGGTGATGGTTTCTGTGACGTTGTTTTACACATCTCATTAGGTTACAATACGCAGTCTGAGAGAAGTGAGACTAAGCATCCAGTCCCACAGACAGTGCAGTTATGTGTAGGTGTAGAAGACTGTCTGTCACATGCACTTTTATCTTAGTTCACGGGGCAAGAACAGATTGTAGCTGAAGGACAGTTCTGGCATGGCGCCTTTACTCAGAAGGGAAATTCCAGAACACTACTTAAGCTATTTTTGGTTTCCAACATTTGTCTGATCAGTGCAGGACCACTGCTTGATCCTTAGATAAAGCCTAGTGCACACTACGAGGATGAAGCTTGTTAGTGAGCAATTGTAGCTACAGTCTGGAGCAGAGTAACCTTGTGTCTGTAATTGTGTATAACCTGACAAACTTGTTTCTACCTGGTATTAGGATGTGTTAAATACATGTGTAAATGGGTTCTTGAATGTTTTATGTATTCTGGGACGTGTTTGTGAGCACACCAAAACAAGCGATTCCAACTTCACTGTGTTGTACCAAACACAAAAATCATCTTTTCTTTTTCATTGACTTCCTTTCCTGCTCACTCGTAAGATGTGTAACTTGAGTTTGTGCATTTAGTTGTATGTGTGCAGCACAGACTGATCCCATAAAAGTGATGTAGAGTGTGATGAACTTAGAGGGGAGGGTCTAGGCGAAATCTGAACACAAGTGATCACAGGCGATTTGAAACGCATGATAATACCTGGTGGAAATGGTAATGCAGCTAGCCTGACGACTTCTGTAACGGATCACTGAAAACACATCTTAATACCAGGGGGAAACAGGACCTAATGTGCACAGGCTGACCAGATTTCACCTTAAGGTTTAAGTCAGACTTTGCATAGCATTATGTGAAGCATATCATTAGAGCTGACATTAAAATGGGTTTGAAAGATTTTTACCTGCAACAAAATTGCCAAAAAAAACAACAACACTCCCCCTATTTTCCGTTGTTTGGACACACAAGTAATCTCACTCAAATTTGTCAATGTTGCCCGCTGTTAGAGGTGCAGAAATTACAACTTTTAATTATTTGGTCCGTTTTTTTAACATTTGGCCGGCCAGTAATTGTTCTTTTTTGTATTTGTTTCCAGGTGACACCGAAGAGCTTCCTGGGCCGCTGAGACGTGCCTTCGGGCTGGGTGTCTCGTTTCCTGTGACCCTGCTGGCCCAGACAAGCTCAGACAACCTGCCCCCTGAATGACTACTGGCCGTCCGGTTGCAGGGCTTTGCCAAGCTGTCACCATGAGCAAATACTCCCAGTACTTCAACAAGACCCTCATACAGGTCCACTATCGTTCTGCCAAGGACATGAACGACGTGGAAATTAAAGACCGCATGGAGAGTAAACAAAGCCTGGACACCCTGAAAATTGTATTTGTCATTATCTGCAGCATCATCATCTTGGAAAACCTCCTGGTGCTTATCGCCGTGTTTCGCAACAAGAAGTTCCACTCGGCCATGTTCTTCTTCATTGGAAACCTCGCCTTCTCTGACTTACTGGCTGGCTCTGCTTATATCGCCAACATCTTTCTGTCAGGCCCTAGGACATTTCATTTGGTGCCTGTCCAGTGGTTCATACGAGAGGGGACCGCTTTCATCGCCCTATCCGCCTCAGTTTTCAGCCTGCTGGCTATCGCTATAGAGCGCTACATTGCCATCACCAAGGTCAAGGTGTATGGCTCCAACAAAACTTGCCGCATGTTCCTTCTGATCGGTGCGTGCTGGGTGATGTCCATCCTTCTGGGAGGTCTTCCCATTATCGGCTGGAACTGTATTAACCACCTGGATGATTGCTCCACTGTTCTGCCTCTCAACACCCGATACTACGTCCTGTTTGTCGTCACCATCTTTACCATCATCTTGCTGTCCATTGTGATCCTTTACGTGCGCATCTACCTTATTGTGCGCACCAGCCAACAAGAGGCCACCAATTCTCCAGCTTACGCTCTCCTGAAGACAGTCACGATCGTGCTGGGCGTCTTCATCATTTGTTGGCTGCCTGCCTTCACCATCCTTCTCTTGGACGCTTCCTGTCCGATCCAGCAATGCCCTATCCTCAATAAAGCCGACATCTTCTTCAGCATTGCCACGCTGAATTCTGCGTTGAACCCGTTGATCTACACGTTGCGGAGTAAGGACATGAGGAAGGAGTTCCTCAGGGTTTTGTGCTGCTGGGGGCTGCTCTACTGCGGCAGACCTCCTCACCGCTGCATGGTGCCACTCAAGAGCTCAAGCTCAATGGAGCACTGCACCAACAAACACGAACATCAGTCGACTCCCATCATGCAGGACTGCACTACCTGTGTCTGATTTCGTCTCCACAGTTCCTAGGTGCTTAAAGATAAGGGGAGACTCCATCTTGGAGACAAGGCACAGAAGACAGAAGCGTTCAGAGACCTCATGGATAAAATGAGAATGGCAATCAACGTCTTTGGACCCTTGCATTTAGAGCAGCTATCACAGGTGTGGTACTGGACTCCCTTGTGTCCTTTGTTGCTTCTATCCTTGCAAAGGTTTCTGACCATCACATATTTGACATTTTCAGGCAAATTAAAGAAAGCCAAATTCAAATGGGAATATGTATTTTAGCTCTTTGACAGAACACGAAAAACCAAAATGTAAAATATTGCACTTTGTAGACTTCTAGGCAGTTTGGGATTGTATATTTCTCCTATGCTGACTAACCTACCAGAAGTCAAATACAAGATGTATCCTATCCACAAGTTCGACTGCCACTGTCATGGTTCAGAGATATGAGAGGACATATTGAAATGTAAGGATCGACAATGCACTCCACATGAGCCAAACCACCACGCATGCTTGCAGAACCTTTCCTATGTATTTATCGAATTACTTGATATACATAACACCCTTTGATTACCGACAAGAAAAGTATTCCGCTTCAATGTATTGCATGAAAGTCTAACCTGTGTAAAAACTAATATGTATGGCAAACCTATGTACAATTGTCAATGTTACTTCAATTTGTCCATCTAAACTCACTGTCCCTTTCTGTTTTTTTTTTTTTTTTAACATTCCTCATTTTTCCTATAAGGAAAGCACAATCGTTTATGATTACTGAATTCCTGAAACGAGTTTCTCACAGCAGCCGGTGTAAATTCTGGATCTTTTGGCATGACAATGTTGTAGCGTCGCTGCGGCAGCGTGTGCTTCGTTTTGTGCCCTCTTGACGAATGGAACTGAATAGAAGAATGAAGTGTTACAAGCGAACATATTCGCTGATCGACAGTATTAAGGAACTTTATTGTTCTCCTGTTGATTATTGAGCTTGCAGCAACAAGAAGGCTCACACACTGTGAAGTATTAACGACATTTAAAGTTAATTGAAATTGATAGGCCATTGATGGGACAAATTGAGTATGACTTTCTCTCTTTTGAAGGGATATTCATTCTGAAATATGGGGGATGTTAGGTGTAGACAGGTTACCATGTCTTGTAATGGATCACAAGTCTTCTGAAGAAAATTTAAACTTCCTGCAACCTCAGGAAGTCCGCTGTTTCCTACGCTTCCTCCTGTTGTTATGAATTGACCTTAATGTTGTCATACGTTAATGTCATCAGCCCAACACTTTCACTCACACAATCATACCCATTCATCGTTTGAACCCAACATGTTTTAGTTTCCTCTGTTGATCGGTTTGGTTCAGCAGAGAAAGCACTTTGGCAGCTCTTCCAATGCCGGTCTAATGTATTTTGGTTTTTCTTTCTTTTTTTAATGCATGAAGAGTTTAAGCCTGTGTGAGCATCACTATCACTCCGTTCAATGTAAAACATTGCCTACCCTGTGGAACAATGCTAGTGTTTTTTATGATAAATATATTAATGTATGTATGTATCTATGTACAGAATGTATGTAATGTGTATACGTGTAGAATGTCTTGTGTGCAATAGCCTTGTGTTTAGTAGCAAGCTACCTGTGCTAAATCGGTACAATCCCAAACACTAATGTAGGTACATACACATTAGTTCATTCCTTTTTTTTTTAATAAAATTTTTTAAAAAGTCATTGCTTGATTGTCATTCTCTATGGTGTTGTTAAGGGTGTTGTTGAAAATTATTATTGCTTATTGATTGATATCTAGATTGATTGACTGTGTCATGATTGCATTTATGAATTTAGCATAATGCTTTAAAGGGATAGTTCACACAAAAAAAACAAAAAAAAAACAGACGGTTGATGATAGCCATTGACTTTCATAGTAGGAAAAAAAAATACTATGGAAGTCAATGGCTATCGTCAACTGTCTGGTTACCAACATACTTTAAAACATCTTTTGTGTTCAACAGAAGAAAGAAACTTATACAGGTTTGGAACAACATGAGGGTGAATAAATGATGACAAGTTTCATTTTTGGGTGAACTGTCCCTTTAAGTGTAACTTCTGAGGTGGTTGTTGTGTGCGTGACAGAAATGATTAATGCCACTACGCAATTTACTTTGAATTTCAGTCCTACGCAGTATTGGGTTAACAATCTGAACTCAAGAGCTTATTCCACATATTACAGAAATCTAAAGAGACAATAAAAAAGGGAAACTAAATGTTAGCATGCACGAACATGGTTAAGGGCAGACTCGCTATGACATGAATCTGTTTGCTAACAACATTGCCCAACTGCTGGCCTTGATTTCTGACAGTCGAATAAGTGCCAGTTCCAAGGTTTTGTGGGAGTGCAGATGTTTAGCCGAAGGGTTTTATAGGATAAGGGGAGTATGACTAGATCAATGGGAATGGCATTATGGGAAATGGGTTGCTGGGACGGCATGACCATAAGCTGGGGCTACTCTTAGCTAAAAAAAAAAAAAAAAAAGTAAAGATTGTGAACCCTGACTGAGTGGGCTTAAAGATGGTCTGGCCTGGTTGTTGTCAAACATCCAGAATTCCTGAGTGGGAACAGCAACCCACCCTGGGAGACAACACAGCTGGGAATATGGCCAAGAGTCAGCAGGAAGTGACGTCAGTCATGGTTAAATTGCTGCAAACATATAGAGCTGTTCTCAGTCAATTCTGTGATTTATGTTCATTCTCCACTCCCACTCCACGCCGCAATATGTGAGAACACGTTTATTCAGACAAGACATGCATCCAGATCCAAAGCAGTAACTACAACCGCTGTACAACAGTGCCACCTTGTGGTCAGCCAAAGAAACGAGCCTAACTCATATGTCATTGTACTGGCCTATTGCGCCATCTGTAGGATAAACGAAGATTGCATGATAATGTGGGCTGATCAAACTATGAATGATTATGTCAGATTGTTGTGGTTGGCAGTGTGTGGTGACAGGAGTAGGTTACTACTCAGACTAATCTAAAATAAAATAATCAAAAAAAAAAAAGAAGAACTTTTAAAATAACTAACTTTTTAATTTGTATTTCTTTATTATTATATATAGATGTTATGATTATAAATATATATGTTATGTTATATGTTATGATTATACATATATATGTTATGAACATAAAAAATATGAATTAGTGAAAATCAGTGCATCTGTGTGATTATGAATAGTTCATTATAAACACGAATATTACAATAGATTTAAACAAATCTGAACACTGAAAATGCAACTGGCAGGAAATGCTGCTGACTGTTGAATTTCTTTAATATTAGTTTAATGTTGATTTTAGGGTGCTTTTATTTCACAGGGCTCTGCATTTATTTATGTTTATTTACACGTTTATCTGTTTGTTTGAAGATCCTTTGTTTTCTTTATTAAATATTTGAACATTGTGACAAATGAATGCTACATATATATAAACTTGATTGAAATTGGCTGGGTTTCAGATTTCTATTCGTCACTGGCAGTTAAATATTTACATTGGAAGAGTTGGACTCCTGGAGCGAATTTGCACCCCTGAGCGAGGCAAAACGTGGTACATCCTATATCGGTTGAGTCTTCTGAAGCCGTACAAGGGGTGCACATAAAAATAATCCTTGGAAACAACGTACGATTTGATATTCCTTCACCCTTAAAGTATATGTTTATTCATATTAATGTACTTTTCATATACTCGCAAGGACGTACCTGAATGATTTAAAACCAAAATAGAAACGCACAGCTTATTTGACACCGTTGACCCCCGTGCTTTGAATTAGAGTGGTAGCGTTCAACTCGCGTTTCCGCGCGAAAAGCGGCCCGCGCGTATTTCCCAGCTGCTAGCGTCAATTCATAAAGCCCGCTGAGCCCCTTTAGCGCGCGCTGCTGTTGGCACTGTCAGATTTTAATAACCGCTTTTATCTGTCGTTGTTGTTTTACACCGTGTTTTTAAATAGTATTTTCTTTGATCAAACTCGAACTTGAAATGCCTACCAGGACCTCACTGTCTCTGCCAGAGGATGTCAAGGAACGGTACGGTGCTGTGTTTGTTTAAAACAACAACTGGGTTTGATAGCTTGCTAGTTCGCGGGCTTTGCTCGCGACTCGTTACACATTGATCACGTCACATAACGGCTGGTGTATTAAGTGCTGTTTGAATATTTAAAAACGTCACGTTTTTTTTTTATTTTACTCTAGTTAGCATTTAGCCATGTTACAAATGCTGAACCTGCCATTAGCTCGCGTTTAGTTGGTAAAACAGGCGGCGGCTGGTTGTTTTGATGCGATTTGACTTGCAGGTGTCAGTCTGACTGCATTTGGCGCCAAATAAACATGTGTCCGTCCGAGTGAAGCCCTGCCCGCCTCCTGTCTCCCTCTACGCAATCTTTGCACAAGTCATTAGACCCATTGCTACTGATTTCGGCTGCATTTCGTGTAGTTTACTCAAGGAAGATCATCTGAAGTGGTGTTAGTAAGAAAATAAATGCACGCCGTCCCTGCATGCGCGCGTGATTTGTTTACTTGAGCAATCTCATGCTAACGTTTGTTGAGAAGAACACATTAGCTTCTGATATTACCGTAGAGTTAAGAATAAATATTAACAATTAAAATCTGATTTATAGTGTTAAATGTATTGCTCGTCATTTTGATCACTCAAAAAGTGGATGGAGAGATTTGTGGGGCTATGTTAATGAGATGATGTTTACCTTGTTCCCAGGCTTCAGGTGCTGGATGAAGGTGGTGACAGTTTGTCAGATGAGGTGAGGGGTTTTCATTGCATCCTTCGGAAATGTATTCAAATAAAATGGTTAGGTTATTCCTGCTTATTACATAGGGATAATATATATATATATACACACACATAAAAATCAAAAGAATTCTCTTTGAACTAATGCTGTAAACTGTGGAACCCATTCTTGAACAGTGTAATTAGATTACTGTACTGATTACACTCTTTAATGTATTGGTACTCATTACTTATTACTCTCTAAATCCCATATCAATCTCAACCAGTTGAACAATACAAGGGTAGACATGGAACTGCTCTTTTAATTATTTCAAATAAATATCAATTATAACTGCATAAATTTGAGCTGACCAAAATATTTAAAGGGAGAAGGTTACATTAAGAGATGGATTTTAAAACTTGTATCCACTATAGATTTATATCTAATTGTTCTAGTCTATA